CAGTATGAGACCCAAACATTGAGTACATACCTGATAAAGTGTGTGAAGAAACTCAGAGGAATGCACTGTAAAGAGATTATTTGCATGGAATTTATCCTGATAACCTTGAAGGAGATTACAACATGCAAAGTATTAAGGGAAATTGATAGGGCAGGTGAGGAAAAATTTAATTATGAGGAACAGGATCGTGGGAACACATGTGGAAGCTGAAGACACAGGAATGTAATGAAGTATATCTTTGATCTTTATATGATTAAGAAATGGAATGACTGATTAGGGTAATGGTGGAGGCAAATTTAGTATACAGCTTCATGAGAAGACGTGATAAGGTCTGAGATGAGAGAAATCAGTAATGAAGATGAAAGTTACCTAGGAGGCAGGACCAGGAGCTGAATCTCGACATCCATCATCACATCTCGGTGAGTAAACGCACGGATAGACAGACACAGACAGGCAGGCAGACGGACAGGCAGGCAGACAGGCAGACAGACAGAAAGATACAGAGAAAAATTAACAAAGCTCTCACCCTCTTCCATGGCATCCAACAGCATTATTGACTAACCTAACGTGTGACAAACCCTTGTCGATACAACCCGTGCTGGCCCCCGCTACCACGCACTCTCCCATCTCTGATTAACACTGATGCTTCGACACCTGATCCACACACACACACACACACACACACACACACACACACACACACACACACACACACACACACACACATGAAACGTCATGAAATTATGTAGTAAGTTCAACAGATGATTCCACGGTGCGTATACAAATGCGCAAGAGACGACAAATGACGAAAGGAAAGATAAACCAAGCTGAATAATCCAACATTCATACGACTAATGAGAATGTGAGGAGACTCCTAATGAAGCTTAACACATCAAAGGCATCAGGATAAGAAAAAATCGTCAGGAATACCTGTACTAAGAAAATGAGTTGAAATACTGCATAGGTCACTCACACAGATCTTCAGTAATTTATTAATGATTGGTGAAGAGCCAGGCGAGTGGACCGTTGGTTGGTAAATGTAGTCTGAAGCAAAACGTGTCCTCATTAGAATATGATAATACTGCACATATGTATTAAGACCTAGATTTGTGTGGGAATGTCTGAGGATGGTTCTGGTGGCAAACTACTATAGCCGCCTCTTAACTACTCTGAGGTAGGCAGGGTGAATAGTCTTGCCCGAGAATTCTAGACTCGTCGTTAGTCAGTTGGGTCAGGACCGTCAGCCTGGTCAGCTATCTCTGTTACCCTTCTGCCTTAACTCACTCCCATTACAAGCCTCTGAGACACTGGTTGTGTATAAGTCAGTATTAGATACACGTTTGGTTCCTCTTGTCTATGAATCTTACTGATCTGTCAGGTACTTTGTATGTGAGATGGCAAAGTATAGCCCTAGTTTTTCTGGAGTTTCAGTAATATTTATCCAAGATACGATAAATGCTAATATCAGATGGGCTTCTTGGAAAATGTTACTTTGGATCATTAGCTCAAAGAAATATTGATCAGTAAAATAAATGGTTTGTTTTCTCTGGAATGCAGGCGAGAGAGATACATGATAATATACGCTTGAAAAATCTTAGAGGGATTATAAGTACCAAATTTGCACACGAAAATCACTCCCTATGAAAGCAAAAGACACGGCAGGAGATGCAACATTCCTCCAGTGAAAAGCAGGGGCGCCACTAGTACTCAGAGAGACAACACATTAAGTGTTAGGGGCCCAAGATTTGTACAACTGCTTCCCAGCATATATAAGGGAGATTGCCAATAGACCCCTGGCTGTCTTCAAGAAGGCACTGGACAGGCACCTAAAGTCAGCACATGACCAGCCGGGCTGTGGTTCGTACGTCAGTTTGCGTGCGGCCAGCAGTAACAGCCTGATTGAGCAGACCCTGATCCCCCACGAGGCTTGATCTCAGACCGGGCCGCGGGGGCGTTGACCACCGAAACCCTCTCCAGGTATACTCCAGGTATAAATTAATTATCCCCTTTTGATTTTCTTGATTCCTTGAACCTGGGGAAACTTTGCTCGATGCTAACACACAAAATAACGATGGTTAGAAAGTTGTCTATATGACTAAGTTGAACTCGTACGCTTTCTGAAACCTGGGAAATAGTAAAGATAGGTAGTTAGTAGGAACTATTTTTTTTTTTTGGGGGGGGGGTAAAATTAATATACTGGACTAACAATTTTGTATATTTTTCTTGTTACGCTCGGCGATACAGGCTTGGATACGGCTGGAAGTCTAGCTTAGGCTCTGGTACGATGCCAGGTTGTAATAACCAGGCTGACCTTTATAGGTAAAACCACCTCGTTTTCCCAGTTTAAAGAGACATGCTGTAACATTCATGGTCCAGTGGACAAAGACATTGGCTAGATAGTTTTAGGGTTGATTGCTGTGCGTTTAAACTCCGCCATTCCACAGAATTTCTATATATTCCCTAGTTAAATCACTTCACTGATTTAATTCTTCCCAGTGAGTGAATGTCACTTGTCTAGAAATGAATGTCTCTTCCATTCGCAATTCTCCATAAACGTAATTTCATTATATACATATTATATAAACATTTCATATTTAGGTATCAGTTTTGGTTCTGTTCACTTGGTGGGAGACTCCACCGTCTACCAGCATGAATATTTTAGACCAGGTGAGGCATCTGTGGTGCGCCAGAGGATCACAGGGGTATATAACAACAGCTTCAGCTATTGTTATCATACCCTTTATCTCTATGTTGCCTCTATTTTGTGTGATGTTATGCTTAGATTTCATGAAATATCTTTACACTTGAAATGCTTATTCTCCTCTACACTACACCAGCCTCTTCAATATTTTCTTTTCTCCCTCTACCTTGTCCCGTGCGTGCCTGTGTGTGTGCTGACACCCTGCGTTGCCGCTGACACCTTGTCACCGCTTCTGACGCCACCGCTTCTGACGCCCCTGCCGCTACAGGACTGGACGTTACACGTACGATACGCCCAGACGCACGACGCGGGCGTATACGAGTGCCAACTCTCCGCACATCCACCCATAGCTGTTTTCACTACCCTTAATGTTATCGGTAAGAGCCTTGCAAGGGCGTCCAAACACTCTCCGAAAATTTTCTTGCTCTCGTCTCATTTTGCATACAGTTCCTTCACTTGCAGTCCATTTGATTCCATTTCTGCGCCTCTACTATCCCCATACTAAAGTCATAAGCTCCTGTTTCCCCTCTTGTGATCACTCAACTTCCCCTTCCATTATCTCTTTGTCTCTCCTGATTCTACCCTAGCCTTGTTTCTTTTAAAAGAACCCTTTGGTGCTAATGTCGGTCGACCTCGCCAAGGTGTTCTACTATTCTTTATGCAAGAATTACTATTATGTAAGTTCCAGACTATGGCTCCCTCGTCTGCCCACAGTTTTTCCAGGATTTTTTTTAATTCGTCGTGTGTGTGTGTGTGGAGGGAGGGGGAGCCATGAGTTCAGGCCCCACCTTTTCAAGTGGTTTCTTACTATATGACAAACTATTATGAAATATATAATTTGGTCTATAAACCTGTTTTGTATATGAACTTAATACCTTAATATGTAAGTTTGCCACTTTAGTAACAACTTTTGTCGTAACTGCCCTCTAGTGTGAACGTAACTCTGCTGTTGTATGCTCAATAGTGTGGCATGAGCTTAATAGTGTGTAGTGTTGCTGAGTTGTGTCCTCAACCCTCAAACCCCTGCGATTCGTATCACTATTCCTCTGTCTCCTATGTGACCAACAGAGGCGGTGGCAGAGATCGGTGGAGGGTCGGAACGGTACGTACAAATCGGCAGCTCCGTCCAACTCACCTGTACACTCAAGTACTTCACCGAGCCACCCACGTACGTCTTCTGGTACCACGCCGAGCACATGGTCAACTACGACTCAAACAACCGGGTAAGTTGAGGCTAATTTAGTAATTCTTTGCAAAGAGAGCGCCACTAGATGAGTAACATATTACATGTTCTTTGTGCTATTGTAATTCTTGGGGAATTACTAATATATACCAACATTAATGTTTCGAACTGGATAATACTCATTTAAATCTCAATTGGGATTAGGAATCACGAGCTTCAGTGAAGAATTACTCATTTATTCAGCATTTTATCATGGATTGGGTAAATTACAATATTATATGTATATGTACGACTGAGGAAGTCATTCTTGAAAGACAATGATGTACACCAAAATATCTACGTATCTTATTAAGGGATTACAGTATTCTTGAATAGGTGACATGCAGTCTTAATGACCCTGATGTAGTCTGTAGGTTTTAATCCCAGTTACTAAGCATGGATGTGCAGATGGGGAACCAAACAGATCGTAGTCATATCCCAGAATGGTTGCATATCTATAAAAGAATTATACACAATCCAAAAACACTCTGTAATTGATCAATAAGTATACTGATAGTGGTGGTTTAGAAAGACACGTAAGCAAACACTATAACATATTTATTAGAAAACGTTTCGGTCCTGGGACCTTGATCACTTCTAACATGTGATCAAGGTCCCAGGACCGAAACGTTTTCTAATAAATATGTTATAGTGTTTGCTTACGTGTCTTTCTAAACCAACTTGTCGGTATTTATTACCAAGGTTTATACCACTGATAGTGGTAAACAGGAAGCTACAAGGCCTGCCACTTTTCAACAGAGTCATATAAACCTAGTTTACTATACAGTTGTCCAAATTCTAATAAATTAATATATTTGTTTAGGCAATGGGTCGAAATAAATATACAGTGAGATAAACATATAGAAAGAAGCCTAACAGATTCATGTATGCCAACCCAGGAGAACAGACAGAGGTTCACCCGAAGGTGTAAATAAAGGTCTGTAGACAGGTTCACCGAGCGACGCGCAAATACAGTTGCAGAGAACAGAGGTACGTTAATAAATGAATGTATAAATCACTGTTATTAGATTAAATAAAACGCCTAACAAGTAAAATAAGGAGAAAGTGGTTATGGGAAACAAAACACCGTGAGCGGGTTAGGAGCCAGGAACGTCCACATCCTTCCTCCTAACAATAGCAAACTGGGCCAGAAATCCCATCCAGGATGGGCGACGCCTCTTCCAGCAGCCTATCCCAGCCGCCGTGCCGAGCGCCGGAGACAATGGAACAGGTCAGCTCCTATCTCAAGAAGGTCGTCTTAAGGAGGTCGTATCTCAGGAGGGTCGCCTTAAGGAGGTCGTATCTTCTCTTCTACGATTTCCAGCTCTTCTCTTGTTCTTGGTCTGTTTCCTTCTAGTTTCCTTTATTGGAATTATATAACTTGCAGGTCTTTTTTAGCATTAATATTCATCCTCATTGGTGTTTTGTGATCAATATTATTCATGTTAGTGTTTAGTGAGCTCAGCCGTAAGTATACGAACTCATTTCAGTTTTCACTTTTTCACTCTTAGCTACACTCGCTTGATAACATTTTTTTCCCTCCCTCCCTGTCTCCCAGACCGGCACTCTTCTCTCCATTATTCTTGACCTCCTTCTCTCATCCATTCCCTCCTTCCGTATCTCCCTCCATTCCTCTGAGTTGTCCTCCCTACATTTCTGCCGTCATCACTTCAGCAGCCGTGCCCTCCTACAGATAACGGTAGCGAACGGTATTAGCGAGAGTGAGTTGAGGATCTCGCAAGTGACGAAAGCGGACAGTGGCAACTACACCTGCCAGCCTGCCAACGCCCGCCCCGCCTCCGTCTCTCTCCACATAATTACAGGTGAGCTCCCAGAGTCCTTGAGAGAAGCACCTTACCTGCTGTTGCACACTTCCTCACGTCTCGCTGGCTCTTTAGCCTACCTGCGCCTCACTCCTACCCACTTGACCCGACGATCTGCCGGGCTTGACTCTTACAAACTATTGTATTACCAGTGTAAACAACGTTTTTAAACTTCTTTTTAAATATAAACAAAACTATTATGAAGAGCATATATTAGGAGATATAGTAAAACTAACTGTATATAGTTAAAAGGCAGAGTCAAGAATTGAGCCTATACCAGCATATCTAAGAAAACTAAAAATTATATGAGTAAGCCTACTAGCATACACACACACACACACACACACACGTATATATATATTATACTTATACATGCATACATATACATCATTTAGTATTTCCTCTCACTGCAGTTGCAGAATATTTGTAAATAGAATGGATCCGGATCTGCGCCTAATGCACTTGATACATTTGGAATTTGCACAATGCATTAAAACCTGCTTGCACTGCGAGACTGAGCACTACACAAGATTAACTATTCACTAAGTTTTATTCAAGATATTTTCCCTACTTTATTTCTGTCTATACTTTCTATAATTTGTTAATGCACGTTTCATATTAGGTTTGCATTATTTTATTTGTTTTTTGTCTGATTTCTTCTGCTGCTGCTGGCTCTCTGCCCCTTTGCCCAACTTTCTCTGATTGCCCATTTGTCTGATTCTCATTCTCGGCTGTCTCTGTGTGTCTCTTTCCTCTCCCATCTATGAAAATTAACACACACTTTCTTCCTTTCAGGCGAGACTCCGGCAGCCATGCAGCGGGCTAGTGCCACTGAGGTACAATACCGCCTCAGCATAACGCTGATATCTTCCCTTTTGGCACTGGTTGCTTTGTAGGCAGTGCCAGGGACGCCGCCATATTCCTAAAACTTGAGTTTGTATCCCGTGTCATTCCTTCCTTTTGCCAGCACGCCTCCAGATGCCCTCGGCTGCAACACTGCAGCCCAAACACTGCCCGTTGTCAGCCTTGACCGGGAGTCAGATGACGACTTGGGCAACTAATTCAGAGACAGCTGCCGTGGCGACTCACTCTACGCGGCAGATATCGACAAAACATGGATGGAATGGCAACGAACAATACTATACAGCGTGTACTTCCATGACGTTGATTCAACTTGAAAAACATCCGCCAGGTCTGTGATTCACTAAGAGCGAATGAGGCTGTAAATACATTTTTTCTATGTGATGGATGTGTAAGAGATGGCAGTAACAGCACCATTCTGTACAATAGTGACGTTAAACACATCCTTTGAAAAGTGTAATACAGTGAATTATCACTGTAAGGCACTGGAAACACTGGCAGAAATGAACAGCAGCAGTCTGAAGAGGTTGTCTAAGAAAACAGTATGACTTAAGTTCGATGTTTTGTCTGTTTTAAGGGTAAACAGACTTCAGTGTTACCTAATGAAGAAAATCTTATAAATATTTTTTCAGGGAAAATCATTTGAAGTGTTTAGTGCGTACCTGAGATAAGCAAGAAATACTGGGCCTATTGTTTGCTCGACTGTGTCTAAAACGGCGAATTAGTGTAAAATAACTTTTAAGGCTTAGACACAGGATCAAATACTTTTGTCATTGTTACATTGCTGGGTTCTATTGGTCTGTCTTGCCATCGGAAACCTAAACGTTATTGAAATTTCCCGCACTATCAAACGTGTATATGAAATTGGTAGTGTTTTCCAGCCAACAAAATGTGTCAAAAGTGTTTAACAAAAAAATTGTATAACACTTTTCATCATGGTGTTGATTGCAGTGTTGCTGCTTTTCTGGTCGTTGTGAAGTGATGCTGTGAGTGTACCAGTGGCCACAGTGGCGTGGTGGTGCAGGTGCCACACTATTGGTGTTACATGTTATTGGCCGCGTTCTCAGCTGATCCCAGCGAGTGGACTAAACGCGTCGTCGCGTCGTGAGGCATTGAGCTGCCTCACCCTTAAACCAGTTAATATATTGCGTATCAAATGAATAACTATGCTACTGAGTGCACAAGACACTCTACCAGACTCGCCCATCTTGCTGAGTGCAAAAAACTAAAACAGAATTAACAAAAATGTTGCCTTTGAAGTGCACTATATTTTGACATAACCAAATTCTACATAAGAAAATGATCAGACATTCGCAACAAATCCTCAGTCTGGAGGAAACTTTTGACGACATTTAGGTCCTTCCATAACTATTACTGACTTCATAATCGTACAGGATCGATCGAGACGTCGGCTGAAGCTTCATCTCCAGGTTGTAGATTACTTGTTAACTGTTCCTGTTACGGTATTGTGACTTTTATTCTTCTTGTACTGACATTTCATTGCCCGTCGCTGTGATCAGTGATCAACTACGTTCTGAGATTCAGACTTCGTTAAATTTTCTGAAATTAGATTCCAGTCATACTTTTCCCAGCGAACAGTATTAGATAAATCATATATATGAGAAAACATATTTAAGTCCATAGTTAAAATACACCCACACACACTGAAGTTAGGACAGGTTAATAATGTCAAATTGTTATGAAAGCCAATTTGGAGAGGGAGAATGTAGGAATGTCTGATACTGGAGTTTACCTGAGACGCCAGAAGGTCCACAGGTGTATAGCAGGTTGCAGTTAGTTTGGCTACTGAGAACCCAGCCTATCTTCTTTCTTCCTGTTTACCACTCTCATAAGACGAACAAAAATAGTATAATTCCTTACACGTAGCCATCCATATTATTTTTAAGAATTTATTAAGTTGACAGATAAAAAGATGTAAATGTTGAACAATGAGTAAAGTTTTTTTCACTTCTCACCTTAAATGCGAAAGACAAAATTATGTGAAATGGTACTTGGGCATCAGAAATGTGGTTTTAATACTAGTTACTTAAACAACTATTCAAAGGGCATACTGCCTGTAATAGTGAAGAATTTACCCACACTGCAAAACAAGCTCTGAGTTAAGCTTTATCAAGTTATGACTTGATAAAGCCATAAGCAGAACGAAACGTTGTCTTACTAAAAGTATGTTCTGCAACGGCTTCTTTTCCCTTTCTCCTCGTCCACTTCTCTCTTCACTATACGCTCCTCCCACAGAATGAGCCTCGCTAGTGGCAGCCCTTGTCGTATATTTGATGTATGTGATGTATCTGATTTCAGGCGTGTCCCTCCGCGCGTGTGGATGCATCTACCAGCTTTACTCTTTATTTCCTTTATACTTACACATCTCTCCTCTTTCCTTCACCCTATGTCGGCTGTTTTCTATCTCGAATATTTATTTTTCAAGCTTCTTAATTGTTAATCTTTCCTCTCAGCTTCTTTCTCGTTCTCTAGTCTCTATCACTCTGTTATCTGTAAGTTTCTATGTGGACCAGGACTAGATTAATATACAGGTTACTGTAATGAGCTCAGAAGTATGTTAGTGAGCAGTAAAGTATTTATAAACGGCAGCTAAGAACGCAGAGCAGCTTCACGAAGGTTAGGTAGGATACTAGTTTTCCAGTCCTGTGTTGAATGAAGCTTGTTAGTTGAGAACAATTTAAGAGGAGGATGGTCCAGGGGCTGTGAATCGACCCTTCGAGATACAAGGTGAGAGCTAAAACACACACACACGCATACACACACATACACACATACACACGCATATACACAGTTCGTTGTTAACCATATTAGACTTGACTCCTCTGAATTTTAGTGACATTAATGGTTTAAATAGTAAAAGATTACGTGTAAAATACTGCTGAAGGGAGTCTCGTGAAGCCTGCTGAAGGGAGTCTCGTGAAGCCTCGTTCTTTAAATTGAGAGTTTTTAAAAGCAAATTTCTGTGATATATATGAAAAGACAAAGTAAAGATAAAGTAAAATAAAAATAAATCTTATTTTTTTCCCAACCCAAAGCTGTGTGACTCTTGTGGGTTTACAGCTTAGTTTTGATTGTAATAATTCCAACCCGTAATGAAAGGCGTAAGAAATAACAAGTGGAAAAAGGGGAAACTAAATCAGACGACAATAAAAAAATAGCCATTGAAATTTGTCGGCGAAAAAAAAGGTTAAAAATCAGATAAAAAATGTAAAAAGTTTTGAAAAACGAATTTTTAACATGAAAAGATCAAGGCTGTTAAATAAAGTTTTTACGGGAATTAGGATATTATGCACGTGGCGCTTCGGATGTTACGTCATCTATATCTATCTATCTATCTATCTATCTATCTATCTATATATATATATATATATA